TAACAAAGGTTGCCCCCCCCTGTCCTTCGAGTGTGAGCCATGGCATCCCTGCCGATATATGTCGGTTCATGCTGTGATGATAAAAATCTTCCCTTTGCCATTTGCAGATAATTGGTATTGCTGTGATATGCATGATATGCTCAACATGAGCTAATGGGAATGCTGTGAATACCACAGTAACATTTATAACTTGTAGTTCTAGAATGTAAAGCCTCTGTAATACTGATGATATTAAGTATTACTCTTAATCCACTCGCTGCACGGGAGGTTTGGGCTGGATAGTGGCGTACTGAATCGCATGCTGTTAGATAGGGCTACAGCTGCAGGAACACTGGGGGTTTGTATTCTCAGTATTCATTCCTGACCTCCTTGGGACTAGGGTCGTTTTTATCCATTCCTTATACCAGCCTTGTTACTGTCGTGCTTTGCAAAATAACTCATAGGTGGCATAATAGGGAGAAAATCTATTGCTAGTCATTGGAAGTTCTTGGTCAGGATGATTCAGTAATATAGTACCTGTGTGGTTTTCCTTTTCTTACTCTTTTAAAATGAGAATATAACTGTATTTTTAACGCAATTTCATGTGTGTTCAATGGGTGTTATAATAGCAACAAAAATGTGTTAGAGGGCAAAGAAGGGCAAAGATGTACATAAAAATACTTGAAACAAGATTAGCAAGGTAGTCTCATTCAGTATTACACTTCTTCAGATTTGTATCTATATGTTCCATTAATTGGAGTGGCACACTTTTGAGCCTGACTCTTACAAACAAGGCGGTGAATATTTATTCCTCTGAGAAGTTTGTTGCCTGCGTCCCACCAATGGTGTTACATTTATTATAGGATAGAATGAAGCAAAACTTGCATATGAAATAGGAAAAGCATATAAATACATATAAAGGCTTATATATTTCATATAGTTCAGGGCTGTTGATATGCAGCTTTTATTATGCTTGAGCCCTAATGTTCACTGTGGTGTATAGGGTATTGTTGTTGCTGCCAGTGTTTTCATAAATACAATAAATTCTAAAAGGTCCCCAAAAGATCAGCTGTTCATCTCTGTTTCTTATTATTTTGTTATTATAGGCTTTGATGTCATTGTCCAGTGGTAAAAACCTCCATTCTTTCAGATTTTCAACCCATCTTCTGTTCCTTCTTTCCAAATATGAATTAGGCTTTTTTGACAGTTTTGAACACATCTTTTCCTTTTAAGTCTTTCTATTCTGTTTTCTTGGGTTTGGTCCTTATTGTCATATGAGAGTTCACCTCCTTTATTTGGTCCTAATTTTTCGTCTCAGTTTCGCTTCCCAGACCCATATTTATTTCTGCTCTTACAACTTCACATCCCTCTCTCTCTCTCAGGGCTTTCAGCACCTATTCTCCTTATATTAAAACCATGAAAAATAAGCAGTCTACAGGATATTTCTATTTGCTGAACACCAGAAACCTGTTTGATCAATTAACTGTCAGTGATTCTTATGGTTGAATGCGTTCCTGAAATAAACAGTCGGGACCCATATAGAACGTGGCATCATATTGTGACTATAGGATTTTTTTGGTGAATGTTTTCTTTCTTATTAAAAAAAATCCAAGATAGACTAAAATAGTACTTTATATATATATTTTAGAAAACAATGTATTATGTTGTTCCGTGGTATTCAGTAGAATGTGAGGTCTGAAACTGAGACCAATTTTTCTGTCTTTTCCTCACGTGTATTCTTATGTGCCTGTCCAGCAACTTTATTGCTGAAAAGTATATTTTACATTAAAATAGAAAATTCCAAAAACATTTTCCGTTTCAAAATCTATTTTAGTTTTACTTCATATAGACTTTTCACAGGCAAGCATTGATTACTCTCATGTATATGTGCTTTTTATTTTCCTTGTTGGGCTTTTCCATATGGTTCAGTAGGAACCAGACTGATTATCAACAAGTGCTCTCATACCGTGCCTCTCTGTGAATTTCAAGCAAATTCAGTAGTGTGCATCCCTTTGTTCTCATAATAACACTGTTGCATTTTCACCATTAACAAATCTGTATTATGTCTGACACGTAAAGCTTTTTCCCTCATCCTTTTCTGTATGAGCTGCCTTGTCACTTCAGGTTATTCCTAATTTTGTCTGATTTAATTCCATTTCCTTCCAGGCAGAATTTACATTGATTTCTAGGTGCTGCAGTCAGTCAGTTAATATAGTGCATTCTTCCTCATTATGGCTTTTTGCAGTTGGTTTTACATTTAGTGTTTTAAGGACTTCACTTGATTGTGTTACTTTTGGTTTGAGTTTGCTAGACGTCTAAGTTAGGATCTTTTGTGGTTTAGTTTTAGTGAGCAAGTTCTGTGATTCTTAATCTGAAGCACACCTTTCCTTAAAAATAATAGTAATATAAGACTTATATCCTCTGGTCGCATCCTGTAGTTTAGCCCCCAAAAGAAGATTGTTTTCATGGGCTCATCACCACTGACTAAACAATAGTCATGTTAGTAATATTTTTCTTGCTTGGAAATATGGTTTTTATTATCTTCATAAGTGCTTCTTGTCTTTTTTTGTGAGCCATTCCAAACTATAGGAAAGTCTCCAAACTACAGGAAAGTCTCTCACAAGCTCTTGATTTAATTCTTCTTGCAGAGGATCTCATTCCTCATGTAAATAATTTGTGGTTGGAATAAGAGCTTGATTGATGTTTATGTTTTGGAAATTTTAACAATTAGCTGGCAATCTGGTCATTTATGTCATTGAATTCCATTTTTGGAAAGTCATGTGTACTAAAAAAATCAGCTCCACATCTCTTTATTTTTAATACTAAGTACCATGGTAAAGGGCTTAAATCAAGGTTATGAAACCCTTGCAGTGGATGGTACCTTAAATAGCAGACAGGAAAACTCAGCACAAAACACAAGACATGAATGCAACAAACCCCTTGTTTTGCCACATTTGGAGTCTGGTTGGGTCTTTTCCTGCAAGTATTGCAGGAGAGCAAGTAAGAGTGTGTTAATTTTTTGCCTTTAGTTTTCCTGAGCTTTCAAGCAATGTTTGCTGCTGCCTCCTCTGTCTCTGACTGAACTGGCACTGTTCCCATAAGTCTAAAAGCCTCCAAGGGATGAGAGAAGTGTACACAATGATATTTGTCATCTCCAGAATCATACAAGCCAAGTGATACCGAGAATTTTCCCGTTTTCAGCATCAGGTCTGAAGTCCTCTGTCATGTCGGTTAAAGCAATGTAAATAGTTAGCTGTTTTGCAGAATCTTGCACACACACCCCCAGCATTTTATGCTCGAGAGGTGTGAAATTCTGCCTACAAAAATCCATTTTATTTTCATCCCATACTTTAGCGGCAAACAGAAGAGCTGGGGAAATCCACTCAGCTGCCTGTCAGATGGGAAGATTCAGTCCACCCCATCGGTGTCTGCAGATTCATGTGTTAGAAACTGCATCTGTGGAACAGTGCGGAGGGATTGGGATTCCCTGCTCTCTGCGTAGCTGAAACGGCCCCTGTCATTTCCACCTTTGTTAGCTGTCTGCAATATTAAATGTCATCTTTTAAATGTGTTTAAGTTTCTGTAGCCTACTGTATATAAACAGTACTGCATGCGTATGTGTGGTGGTGTAAAAAACGATTCGCAAAAACTAATGATTCAGCCTTTTTTGTAAAAATACTACTTTTTGACCAAGTTATCAAATAATAACTTTAAGATACAAAAATGAATATATTTAGTACAAATTAGTATTCAAAGAATGGCATGTGTGCTTTTGTTATGTCTCAAACTCGGCCATCAAACAGGATGTTTCATTTCTAGCAACATCTCTAAAAAGATGCAAACATTATCTCTAATGTAATAGATCAAGTTATTCTATTTTGACAATTGAATTCTATCACACAGGCAATAGTAATCATGGCAATGAACTTACCTTTGTGGCTGTTGGCAGGTTTTTTTTGCGTTTTTGTTTTGTTCTGTTTTTGTTTTTTAATTTCTCCTCTTACTTTGAAAAATAGTTAATCAGTTTTTAAATTGTATTTGAAAAGAGCAGCTTTTCATCTGCTGAGAATCTGTATGCTAAATTTCAGGCCAAAGTGAATTTTCTTTTTGTATTGTCTGATCTTGCGCCTTTGAAGTCCGTGTGGAAGGGATCTTGCTGATTTCAGAGCTCTTAGGCTCAGGCCCAGAGGTTAAACCCTTTAAAAAAAGAGGAGGGGGGGGGAAGAGCTGTCAAAATGTGATGGAAATATATGGGTGAATTACGAGCTTCAGCTCCAGTGAGGTTGTTTGGAAGCATATGTATTTAGGGGCTTAACCTAAAGTGAAAGGTTCTGTTTTTCAAACTCGTGCAGCTACAGTTGCCAACATGGGCTCAGATATAGGAAAGCGTAGCTCTGAACATGTAGAAACACCCCTTTCTTTTTCTGTGGACAGCTTATTTGATCACTGGAATGACATCTTGGCTTTCATCTCTGCTTGTCAGTAGCCATTCTGTTTTTACAGAGCAGAAGTGCCAAGCGCGAGCTGTTGCCCTCTTTCTTCGTCCTTTTCATAAACATAATGACAAAGGATGAAGCACGTCACTCCCTCAGTTGGTCTTGCAAATCCAGCCTTAAAAGCATGGAAACTGTCATACAGAGTTGACTTGAAACGCTGTACAATAAAAATAAAGCAAACTCGCCTCAGCTTGGCTTAAGATGAGACATATGAGTCCTAAACATTGATCTGGTCTGTGTGAGATTTGTGAGCTACAGCCATGGCACCCGTTTTCTTTTGCATAAGAAAAAACTTCCCATGTTTTTTTTTTTGTCTTAGTAATGGGAAAAGGTATTTCTCTAAGTCTTGTTCTCGACAAGCAAGCATTGCTTACGATGCTCTTTCTTTTTCTCTCCACACCCCCCCCTCCTGCAGAATCGCATCGGGAATTCCTTCACAGGCCTGCGTCTGGATACGTGCCAGAGGAGATCTGGAAGAAAGCTGGTAAGAACTGTTTAAAAACACCAGCTTAGTCTTCTGGCAGCTGTGTGCAGTTGTTAATGCACTGATGTGAGGGATGAAAAAAAAAGGGGGGGGGGGGGAAAATTTTCAGAAAACAAAAAAAAATTGGGTTTAAAAA